AAATTTCATTTTCATTTAATTTGATTAGGTATTGACAACAAATTCACCATATGAACACTATTGGCAATAATATCTTAGAATGGTGAGTCTTCAACAATTCAGATGAGCAAAATATCGGCTTGATAAGTATGTAAATCATTTATCTATCGACAAAAGAGTTGTCCAAAACCATAATGTGCAAAACGGTTTTCTAATATTTCTGACTCTGTTTTATTTAAATTCTGGAATCGGTTGAGGATCTTTAGTGCTATCAAATTGTCATAATCGACATTATATCCAACGGATGAAGCTAGACAATAGCATGGCATTTCCAATTCTTTCACGGACTACAAGAGCTGGGATTTTCATCTGACTGCATCTCAAGCCACTGATCACTATCACTCGATCACTTTGCATCGTGTAAATTTGGTAGAGTCAATGTTAGCATATAATTGGGTGCTGTACTATAAGCTACAAATACAATGTCAGTGGTTAAAGGAAGACAATCTCACAAAATGGATTGTGATATCAAAGGATGTCAATGGACTGGACAAATTAAGTAGCCTCTACAATCAAAGGATTCTCTATCGGTTCTCGTATTGAAGGGACAATTGACCGTTGCTTTTGACTAGTGAATAAAGCACAAGAGGACAAAGACTGAACATGGATGGTGAATAAGGTGAAAGAGGAGGTTAAAATGGTCTGAATTAGGAAACGGATCATAATTACCTTGGTGTGATGTTGCACTTATGTTTCCAATGTTATAAGATATTGTACAATCCAAAACAGGCCAATGGATGGTTGTTGTTAGATGTAATTCATTATAATTTGAAATTAATGCTACTTTAATGTATATAAAAAGAGTTGAAAATGTGATTAATTGAAAAGATTGAAAAAAGAAAGGATGAAAATGAACTAGAAAGTGACTTTACTCATAGAGCCTGGCTTCGGGGAGATTGAAAGAAAGCAAGTAAGGTAGACACCCGAGGAAAGTAAAGACTGCAACAGAGTGGAGAGAAAGAGGAAAAATAGAGGAAAAGAGTGATCTTTATTTATCGATTACATGAACATCTGAACAACTCCATATAACAGATAACTAGTCGCTGGTTGTGATAATATAATCAACCAGATTCTTAACTATTTAGATGGTTGACAAACAATTTAAGCTCTGCAATTAAGTAGTGAAACAACTCATCCAGATATGTCTTATTGCGCGGATACGTGTTTTCAAATATCATTGACATATCATTCATTTTCAGTGAAATCTAGACAAACATCAACATTACTCATTAAGATGGCTATAAAATAACAAAACAACTGTGATAAATCTCGAAGACTCTTGATCTTACAGGTTACTTGTTTTATGTGTTTTCACGATTCTTGTCTGAATTAGTGTTCAAATTGAAACCATCGGTCTTGAGTCAGAAAATGGACAAACACCAATCATTTGCTAAATCAGTTTAATTACACATTGAGTTGCTTTTATTAAAACTATAAACATAAAAGTTATTCATTTTTAGTCTGTTTAGCATTCAATTGTCTCAATTTTTCCGATTTTTGATTCAACAATTCCAATTTGGAGGCCATTTCTTGTTCTCGTTTGATGCTCAGCTCACGAGTTCGAGTGATTTCAGCTTCTAATTCAGCAAATTTCTTTTCTTTTTCTGCTTCATTAACATCCATTTTCTCTCCCAAAGCCATTAACTGAAATATAATCAAAATTCAAGGGCATTACTTAAATGGTCAACTATTGAAATAAAAGTCACTCGGATTTACCTCTTTTTGAGCTTTCTTCAGACTCTCTGATTTTTCTTCAAGCATTTTGATAGCTGAGTTTAGGTTAACAGTTTGGGATTGAATCTATGAAGTGCATAAAAGATTGGGTTATTAGTTGATTGGTTATTCACAATTTACATAAAAATGAAAAGATATTTGGTTAAATATTTACGATTTCAAGTCGACTAGTCTTGCTTTCAATCTCTTCAATCGTCTTAAGCTGCGTCTCCCTTTGCTTCAGCCAATTTCCTTTCCATGGCTTCTAACCGACCCCTCAAAGATTTAGCTGCATCTTCAGCCTAAAACACGAAACAGTTAATAGCCATTTGTGTTGATCGAATCCTTCGAATCTATTTAGATATTTATTGTACTTACACTGGCTACTCGTTCAAGAGCGATCCTGGCTTCATCTTCAGCTGCCTTCACTCGTTCATCAGCTTCTTGCTTTTCCTTGACCATTTTTTGTAAAGATTGTTCAAGTGAATCCTTCATTTATTACTGCTTAGAAAAATTGATAGAAAAAAATTGCTGTCACTTTAATCACATGAAATCACATATATATTAATACGAACAAATTGTAATAATCAGTTAAAAGCTTGTAAGCGAATACAAATAAATGTATTTCTAGTACACGGATCATCAAAATTGTACTAACCTCTATGGTTGTTATGTTTAAACTGACAATGTTGTGAATCGCAATTTTAAGTATTCAGTGTTTAACTTTAGTTATAATTAAGTTTGTGATTTAAAATTGGCTTACCTGATGAAGTAGTTAGGGTTCGATAACAAAGGTTACAATTTAGAAGAATGTGAATTGCACAGAAATCAAGTGATTTGAATTTGGTTACCTCGTTAAGCTGAGCAACTGGAATAAACCAAAATAGAATATTGTTTGACTTTTTTGGAAGTGATCCCAATTTTTCACTTTTCCGGTTTCTTCATCTTTACCCAAAAACGTAGTTGATGATGTAGTTTGTCTGTGATCATTGAAAACTAAGATACAAATAACCAAATTCGTGGCAGAGTTTTACGCGAAAACTATTACCTTTAAAATAAAGTTCATTTTGAAGTGACATTTATTAGCGATGGTCC